GCGTGCGGGGAGATCCTGAAGGTCGGGATCACCCTAGAGGCAGGTTACGGTGCTGAACTTGCTGGCCTTGACGATGCAGAGTGGAGGAAGTTGCGGGCGGCACATGCTCGCAGCAAGCTACCTGCGCACGGAGGAGTCAGCGTGTTGGCAAAACTTGCACTTGCTCCTGCAGCACGGTGGTGCCGTATACTGTGGGTCGCCAACGCCAGCCAACACATTATGATAAGTGCGCAGCGGTTGCTACAACAGTGGGAAGAAGTGCGGCCAGGGCAGAATACTGAGCTGCATTGGGCTCGCAGTCGAGGACCTATCCGAAGGGCGGCGCTATCGGCTTGGCGAGCAGGATGGACAGTTCAGTCTGCGACGAGATGGATTGATCATCGTGGCTGCGTGGTGGCAATTGATCAGATGTCACCAGGATTGCGCAGTCATGCTGAGCGCAGGCATCCAACGGAAGAGTGAGATCGGCACGGCAGCAAAAACTTCTGAGCCCAGTGTGCGCAGTGAGGATCAGCCAGTGATAATGCGAGCTCCTTTTGATTTTCTTAAAGGGTGATCAGCCCAGCCAGCAAGCGGCGCAGCAAGCATCACAAGTTCCTCATAAGCTGTTGTGCCTGCGATGGTATATAGACGCGGAGCCGCGCGAAGATAGTTGGCTACTTGTCTGGTGGCCTTTGTGGGTGCGGGCGCGAAGATGCCATCAAGCATGACTGTGCGAGCGTCAGGGACGCATGTCGACGGTGGCACTGGGGCCTTCGGTGGAGTTCCCTACGGGGCCACGAGGGGCCACGAAACGCTGTACTGAGTGGGGGGGGGGACGCATTTGGACGGTGGCACTGGGGCCTTCGGTGGAGCTCCCTATGGGGCCACGAAGCGCTGTACTGAGTGGGGGGACGCATGTGGACGGCGGCACTGGGGCTTTCGGTGGAGCTCCCTATGGGGCCACGAAACGTTGTGCTGAGTGGGGGGGGGCGCATATGGACGGTGGCACTGGGGCCTTCGGTGGAGCTCCCTATGGGGCCACGAGACGCTGTACTGAGTGGGGGGGACGCATGTGGACTGTGGCGCTGGGGCCTGCGGTGGAGCTCCCTATGGGGCAACGAAGCGCTGTACTGACTGGGGGGGACGCATGTGGACGCATGTGGACGGTGGCAGTGGGGTTTTCGGTGGAGCTCCCTATGGGGCCACGAAGCGCTGTACTGGGTTGGGGGACGCATGTGGACGGTGGCACTGGGGCCTTCGGTGGAGCTCCGTATGGGGCCACGAGACGCTGTACCGAGTGGGGGGGCGTAGGTGGACGGTGGCACTGGGGCCTTCGGTGGAGCTCCCTATGGGGCCACGAAGCGCTGTACTGAGTGGGGGGGACGCATGTGGACGGTGGCACTGGGGCCTTCGGTGGAGCTCCCTATGGGGCCACGAAGCGCTGTACTGGGTGGGGGAACGCATGCGGACGGTAGGAAGGAGGGGGAGGAGGAGAAGAGGAGAGGAGGAACGCGGAGACCGTCTCTCCAAAACGAGGACCCAACACCACAGGATGGTTGGGAAAAACAAATGGAACGACCTGAGAATTAAAGATGCCAAAGACTCAGGGCGGAACAAACATTAGCCTGACGAAGGACCCAACCATATGCAGTTGTGGGGACCGCAATTATGAATCTCTTCTTCGGTGGCGCTCCCTATGGGGCCACGAAACGCTGTATTGGGTGGGTGAAACGCAAGGAGCAAGCGCTGTGCTGGGTGATGGCTGACGCATGCGGACGGTGCCACTGGGACCTTCGGTGGAGCTCCCTATGGGGCCACGAAACGCTGTATTGGGTGGGTGAAACGCAGGGAGCAAGGGCTCTTCTAGGTGGTGGCTGACGCATGCGGGCGGTGCCGGTGAGACCTCCGGTGGAGCTCCCTATGGGGCCACGGAGCGCTGCACTGGGTGGGTGAAACGCAGGGAGCATGGGCTGTGCTGGGTGGTGGCGGACGCATGTGGGCGATGCCACTGGGACCTTCGCTGGAGCCCCCTTTATGGGGCCACGGAACGCTGTACTGGGTGGGTGAAACGCAGGAAGCATGGGCTGGGCTGGGTGGTGGCTGGCGCATGCGGGCGGTGCCACTGGGACCTTCGGTGGAGCTCCCTATGGTGCCACGAAGCGCTGTACTGGGTGGGTGAAACACAGGGATCAAGGGCTGTTCTGGGCGGTGGCAGGCGCATGCGGGCGGTGCCCGTGGGACCTTCGGTGGCTCCCTATGGGGCCACGAAACGCTGTACTGGGTGGGTGAAACGCAGGGAGGGGGGGGAGGAGGGCCACGAAACGCTGTACTGGGTTGGGGGGGCGCATGCGGACGGTAGACCTGGAACCTTCGGTGGAGCTCCCGATGGGGCCACGAAGCATTGTACTGGGTGGGTGAAACGCAGGGAGGCGGGGGAGGAGGGCCACGAAACGCTGTACTGGGTGGAGGGGACGCATGCGGCCGGCGGGCGGTAGACCTGGAACATTCGGTGGAGCTTCCTATGGGGCCACGAAGCGCTGTACTGGGTGGGTGAAACGCAAAGGGGAGGGGGAGGAGGGCCACGAAATGCTGTACTGGGTGGGGGGGAAGCATGCGGACGGTAGACCTGGAACATTCGGTAGAGTTCCCTATGGGGCCACGAAGCGGTGTATTGGGTGGGTGAAGCGCAGGGAGGAGGGGGAGGAAGGCCACGAAACGCTGTACTGAGTGGGGGGGACGCATGCGGACGGTAGACCTGGAACATTCGGTGGAGCTTCCTATGGGGCCACGAAGCGCTGTACTGGGTGGGTGAAACGCAAGGGGGAGGGGGAGGAAGGCCACGAAACGCTGTACCCGGTGGGGGGGACGCCTGCGGACGGTAGACCTGGAACCTTCGGTGGAACTCTCTATGTGGCCACGAAGCGCTGTATTGAGTGGGTGAAACGCAGGGAGGAAACGGAGGAAGGAGGAGGGAGGAGGGGAGGAGGAGAGGAGAGGAGGAGAGGAGGAGGAGGAACGCGGGGACCGTCTCTTCAAAACGAGGACCCAACAACACAGGTTGGTTGGGAGCAGCAACAAAACAACACAAGGAGCAACCAACCCGTTTTTTATAACAAAAAAGTTTGCAGCACTTTATTTGCGAGGGCGGCGGGGATGGGGCAAGGCTTGAAATCGTTGTGTTTTGGCTGTTGTCGGTTGTTCATTGTGTTTTTTTCGGATGTTCAGTCTTGGGCCCGTGGTTTCTTCAGTTTGTTGGGTTTTCCTTTTGTTTTTGTTTTGGTTTCAGTGGCCTTTTTCCTCTTCTTCCAACCCTCTTCGTTTTCTCCTGCTGTCTCCTCCTCGTGGAGGGAAGACCTTTTGCGCTGGAGTGGGAGGGGCGGAAGGGGGAGGGCGGGGGTGGGAGGGGGAGAATGAAGGAGACAGAGAGAGAGAGAGACAGACAGACAGAGAGAGATAAGCAGACATAACGAAGAGCATACTAATAGAAAAGTATAATGGCAGGGGGCGGCCGCGCAATTATATGTATGTATAAATACACATACACGTGTGCATGTATGTATGTATGTATGTATGTATGTATGTATGCATGTATGTATGTATGTATGTATACCGACAACCCCATCACCCATTTTTATGAGTATTCATTTACGACGGTGGGGTTATTATTGTTCACCCTCTCTTCCTGGCATCTCTCTTTTTTATGTATCAATAGTTCTCTTCTCTCTCTCTCTATTCCTTTGCCTAGAGCCAGCTGTTTCCACACACACACACACACATAGATTCTGATGATGAAATTGCATTAACACCCAATGGGAATTCATCAGGTCCTAGACCACGTGGTTCCAAAATAGATGCCGTGTGGCATCTAATTCGAATCTACTTGGGATGGATCAGATCCCATATCCAGGTTTGCCAAAGTCAACTCCTATTGTCACATGCTTACAGTACAATTGAACTGGAGCGGGTCTCCAACTGAGTGTACTTTGATGCCCAGTGAGATTTACGTCGACTTGATTCGAAATTGGTCACATCCCAGATACAGCTCAGTCCAAGTGGGATTCCGATTGGAATCGGATTAGAATGCAATTGGCAGTGGGCAGGTCATTGTTCCATCTGCTGTCACATCGATTGCAATTGAAATGGCATCCGAATCTAATTGGAATTGAGCAGTTCCTGGTCCCAGCTGGTTCCACTTTGATCCCTATTGGAATCGGAGCAGAATCTAAGCGGCGCGGAGCATCCATAGTGTGATCGACTTAGGATGCAATTCGAAGTGGGCAGATCAAAGACCCAGCTGGTTCCAATTTGATCCCGCTTGTCATATATTTGAAATTTAGTTGGGCTTGAACAGGTCCCAGATCCAGCTGATTCCGATTGTATTCCGATTTGAACCGAATTAAAATCGAATTGGAATTGCGCAGGTCCCAGGTCGAGCTGTGTCAAATTGACTCCTAGTAAATTCAAAGTAGAATCTAAGTGGAGCTTGGCAGGTCCCAGATCCACCTGATTCCAACCAGATCCCAGCACGGGAAAACCGCGGAGAGATGACGAATTGGAAAGATGGATGAGCAGGCACGGATGAAACGAAGGCGGGTGATCATTAAGAGTACGATTGGAGAGTTCGAATACCGATGCAAGGGAATGGGTATTGTGGGGGGGGGTAGTTCAGCACACACACACACATACATACACACACATACAGACGTACCTACCTACCTACCAACCAACCTACATATGTATATGCATACATACATATGTACATGTGTGTATGTACACATACATATGTGTACACGTGTGTTCGCACCGCATTGGAGAGAGAGAGAGAGAGAGAGAGAGACAGAGAGAGAGAGAACGCGATACACAGAAAGAGGGGGGAGAAAGAGAGAGAGAGAGGGAGAGGGAGAAGGAATCAATCGAGACAGAGCATGAAATCATGAACTTGTTTTGGGATGCTCTTCGAAGCCATTTTAGTTTCGCTTCGTACTTCACGCGAAATGTAATTTGGCATCGCTTCTAAGGTTGGCGAACGTGTTCATCGCCATTGTGGGTGAGCGCTATACTGATCACCTGGGCGAGTCCATGAGTGATTGGATCGAGGATATGTCAGCACCTCCGTGTCATTGGTCATGGCATGGCGCCTGCTCTTAGTATCCACTAAAGGAGTGATAGTGAGACATGTACATTTGACGTACGTTTGGTGAACTCTGTTGAAGCCTTCCTGGTGGTCACAAGATAAAGCATCATAGCGAGCCATGTCTGTCGCCTGAGTGATCCTGAAACCATTGATCTTCATGGTATCTCTGTGGGGTCTGAGTGGCTGGATCGGTTCATCATCTTATCTTCCCAGTTCGCCTGAAACTTGAAGGGTTCTGGACATATGAGTGTTTCAGGACTTGCGTACTCCGGTTCTCATCGGACAGGCGAGGACGAGCATCGCTTGCTTTTCGAGTCTTACAAATACTGCCAGTAAGAGGCATGATGTTATCGTAGCCAAACGCGGCGCAGCTTGATTATTCAGTGTCACGCCGCCCCCCTGTCTCGCGCTACGTTGCACTTCAACGGCGGAGTGCACGGAGCCGCTGAGGGTTGGTACAACAGGTTCTTTGCGGCGTCGACGTGGCGGCGATGCTGGCGCTCGCGCTCAAGATTGAAGGCCACCAGCGGTCCGAGGCAGGCCAGTCTTGAGCGATCTCCTTCAAGCAGTGGCGAAGCGTCCTGACCTGGCCCACTAAATCATGTTCAAATAGTCTTTCGTGATGTGCACGACATGTTCTTCGAAAGTTTCTGGCTGAGACCGCTTTGCTTCCGCATAGAATATTGGTTTCGCTATCAGAGCACTGTTTGTTATTAAATAGCTCGTGGTAAGCCCATAGGGCTGTCGGGACGGACGGTCCCTGCTCAATATTTTTTCGTTCCGGGGTGTTGCTAGAAGTGTCCCCCGCCTAAGGTGCCCCTAGGATTTCCAAGGAGGCCCCCACGGCCTTCAGAGAACACATCACGAAGCCCAGAGGGCCCCAGGGGCTCCAACATGAACGGGCAAGTTGGGGGTACCTTAGTCCAGAGGCCCTTGGACCACTCCATCCCGAGCGATCGGTGTCCGAAACCAGCGCCCGCGCGGTCGCGACGGGAGCCCGCCTCAGAGGGAGTTCGGAGAGACCTCCAGCTGTTTCCAGAAATGTCCGAAGGGGGGGGAATTGGATGGAATCTCCCCCCCCCCTCCGGAGAGTTCTCCTCCTCCCCCTCCGAAGAGGAGGGGGAGGAGGAGGGCACGCGGCGCAAGGTGTGAGGGAGCAACGATGACGGGAGCAGCGGCGAGGGAGCGGGAAAGCACACGAGGGAGGCCGCAGGAAGATTTCTTGGGCTGCTCGTCCATGGAAGGGTGATGCTCAGGGGGGGCGGGGAGCAGAGGCTCGAGGGGCTGCTCGAGGTTTGATGTTTCGCGCGCGTTCGTCGGTTCTCAGAGGCTGTCCGGCCTCGGCATGCCATCCAGCGGCTGCGCCTCGCCGGGAGCATTCCGGGGGGGGCGCCCGGCCCGTCCCGAGCGGCCGCCGGAGATCCGAGCTCTGGTCCCAAGGCCGGGGAGCACCGGCAAAAGGGGGAGAGCGGCGCAGAGGGGGACGCATCGACCCCAGTCGCCCAGTCATCGCCGACACAGCCCAGACGCTGAAATAAGGAACAGCTTGGATTCGGCCAGGGGCTCGATGTTCCTCGCGTCCTTCCGTGGTTGTTCCTCTGGCCCTGCTCGTGCACCCAGGCTTTTTTTAAGCCACAGAGGGGCTTCGTTCCTTATTTAGCGTTCCTCATTTCAGCAGCCCGACTGTAGGTGCCCGATAGCTCACCCCGCCCAGGAGCGTGCGTATTTCGCCATTCGGGGGCCTCTCGCCGATCTATCGGTGATGTATCGCCGATTCCAGGTCGCTGTTTACCCCGCTGAGCCAGGCCCCCTACTAACGTTGCCCCTCACCTCCGAGGTCCTCAGAGGTCCACCCGCTGGGATCTCCGGAGACCCCCAGGGGCCCCAATTTCCCCAAAACGTGCGAAATTTGGCGATTCTCCGTGACCAGGGAGGGGGAGGAGGGGGAGGAGGAGGAGGAGGAGGAGGAGGAGGAGGAGGAGGAGGAGGAGGAGGAGGAGGAGGAGGAGGAGGAGGTGGAGGTGAAGGAGGAGGGTGACTAGTGTAAATCCAAGGTCCGTCAACGATGTTCGAATACACCTTCCCTCCAAGATCCCTCTTCAGACGCCCCTACAAGGGATCATTTCCACTGAGGGAACTGTCCCGTTGGGGGACAACCATGTGAACATCTTGAAGCGTGCCGAAGCACCGTTCTCAGGACCCCAACGCCACGACTTAATCTGAATGTTAAGTCTTAGCGGTCCTGAATCGTGCCAGAACACCATTCCTGGGACTCTAACGCTACGAATCAACGTAACCCTCGCGCCCTGACAATCCTGAATCGTTCCAGAGCACAAGCTCCTGGTACGGTAATCATGAGAAGCAGTGGAAGTCTTGCAAAGATTTAAAACATGTGCGCGGCGGTATGGCGATGGCCAAATTTTGAAAAGGAGCCGCCCTCAACCCGTGAAGCTCTGGCAATGGCTTTAAACGAGTGTGCGCGGCGCTAAGCCGACAGCCTCATTTTGAAAACGGCCCGCCCTCATGTTTAGAACGAGTGTGCGCGGCGCTAGGGCGAGAGCCACGTTTCGAAGAAGAGCCGCCCTCAACCCGTCAAACGAATGTGCGCTTCCCTAAGGCGAGAGCCACGCTTTGAAGACGATCCGCCCTGAATCCGCGAAGCTCTTGCAATGCTTCAAACCAGTGCGCGCGGCGCTAAGGCGAGACCCACTTTGTAAAAATGACCTGCCCTCAATCCGTGAAGCTCTTTTACTGTTCTGAACGAATGTGCGCGGCGCTAAGGCGAGAGCCACATTTTGTAAACGACCCGCCCTCAATCCGTGAATCTCTTGCAATGTTTAACACGGATGTGCGCGGCGCTAAGGCGAGAGCCACATTTTGGAAAAACGAGTGCGCGCGGCGCTAAGGCGAGATCCACTTGCTGAAAACCACCCGCCCTCCATCTGCGAAGCTGTTGGGAATAATTAAGCATCAGAGTCATGCGTGGTGATTAAGTCTCCGGCGAAACGCCCGCCCTCCCTTGCGACCGGCATCGAGGTGCGACAGGGAGGAGTAATCTACAAGGGAAAGGAATGGAGGAGGAAGTGTGTTGGTCTGCGCGCGAGCCTTGCTGTCATAAGCGCTGGTTGCGCGGGCGTTGCCCACAGTACACGCGTAACTGAGCATAGGGCGGGAGGAGGGGGAAAGACTCGCGTGTCGTCAGAAATTGGGTTCCCCTGCCGTGGAGGAATATGCCGTGCAACGAAGCCCTCACACCCCAGGAAACGTGCGAGGGGTGTGTCAAAATGGGTGGCCGGAGCGCATGCGGGCTGCGCCACTGGGACCTTCGATGGAGCTCCTATGGGGCCACGAAACATATGAGGGGTGTGTCGGTGGGGCTCCATATGGGGCCTAGCAACGCGCGAGGGGTGTGTCAAAATGGATGGCGGGAACGCATGCGGAGCTCCTCTGCGGCTAATAAACGTGTGAGGGATGTGCCGAAATGTGTGGCGGGGACGCATGTGGGCACCGCCACCGGGGCCATCGGTGGAGCTCCAATGGGGCCACGAAACGTGTGAGGGGTGTGCCGAAATGGGTGGAGTAGGCAACGCATGCGGGCTGCGCCATTTTGGGCCTTCGGTGTAGCTCCTATGGGGCGCGTGTGAGGGGTGTGTCAAACTGAATGGCGGGGACGCATGTGGGCTGCGCCACTGGGACCTTCGGCGAAGCTCCTCTGACGCCAGGAAACGTGTGAGGGGTGTGCCGAAATGGGTTGCGGGGACGCATGCGGGCTGCGCCACTGGGACCTGTGGTGGAGCTCCCTATGGGGCCATGGAACGTGTGAGGGGTGTGGCGAAATCGGTAGCGGGGACGCGCCATTGGGGCCTTCGGTGGGGCTCCCTATGATGCCTAGAAACGTGTGAAGGGTGTGCCGAAAGGGGTGGCGGGACGCATGTGGGGCTCCGCCACTGGGGCCTTCGGTGGAGCTCCCTACTTGGCGACGAAACGTGTGAGGGGTGCATCAAAATGATTGGCGGGGACGCGTGCGGGTTGCGCAACTGCGACATTCGGCGGAGCTCCCCTGGGGCCAGGAAACGTGTGAGGGTGTGCGGGCATGGGTGGCGGGGACGCATGCAGGCTGCGCCACTGGGACCTTTGGTGGAGCTCCCCATCCGCACACGAGACGTGAGAGGGGTGTATCAAAATGATTGGCGGGGACGCATGCGGGCTGCGCAACTGGGACCTTCGGCGGAGCTCCTCTGTGGCCAGGAATCGTGTGAGGGGTGTACGGACATGGGTTGCGGGGACGCATGCAGGCTGCGCCACTGGGACCTTTGGTGGAGCTCCCTATGGGGCCATGAAACGTATGAGGGGTGTGGCGAAATCGGTAGCGGGGACGCATGCGGGCAACGCCACTGGGACCCTCGGTGGAGCACCCTATGGGGCCACGAAGCGTGTGAGGGGTGTGCCGAAACCTGTTGCGTTGATGCACTCGGGCTGCGCCACGGGGACCCTCGCTTGAGCTCCTTTGGGGGTCACGAAACGTGTGAGGGGTGCACCGAAACAGAGCCATGCGGAGGGCGGAGGCACGTACAATCTAGGCGATGCATGCTTAAGAAAACCCAAGTTTTCTGTCAGAGTCTCGATTATTCTTAATGTTTCAATGTAGATTCTAAGATTTGAATCGACATTCTGGGTTTTTATTCAGATTCTGAGACTATGAATTTCTGAACCCATGATTTCTAAAGCATTTCGCAGGGTGTACGGGAGGAGGGAGGAGGATGAGAGGAGGAGGAGACTCGGGGACTGTCTCTTCAAAACGGGAGCCCAACACCACAGGATGGCTGGGAAACGAATCCGCCGCTGCACCCGGCGGTGCGCCACCGAGGAGGGGCAGGCGGAGGGGGCCTGCCTGCTCAGAAGGCGGCGGGGCTACTCTCAGGAGGGAAAAAACACAGACACAATGCATCGTCGATTCCCCCGG